CACAGTAACAGCAATGGCTCAAACTCGAATGGAACCAATGGCACGCAATGGGGTCAGTGGGCAAACAACGGTGGTGGTGGCTGGGGCACCGGCCACGATCAAGACTGGCTTGCGTTACCCCTCGACCCACTGCTGGACCAGTGGGGCGCAGAGATTAATCAGACGGCCATGGGACCGGATATTGGAGGCATGGACATGTTGGATATCTTGTTGAATATGGGGGGTCCACCTGGTAGTGCATAAACACATACGTGGGTTCTTGTTTATCTTTTCTTCTTCTCAGCAGTTTGGGTAACTTTCTGGATAATTTCAGGTTTGATTGGGGGGGGGGGGGGGGTTCATTATTGGATTTTGCATGAATCATGATACGTATGAGGAGTGAAGAAACTAGGAACAAGAAGTATAAGGGTAATGCCAATCTGGATAAGGTCAATTATTTTCATTATGAAGGGGAAAAGTCTAGGTTTATCAATCTTTTCAAATTCTAATAGATCCCGCTGTTCTCTTTTTGAAAAAAAAAGAAGAAGAAGAAGAAACGAGAACAAGCATTCGAGACGGAAATCTTGATGGAATAAAAAAGTTCTCATTACTTCATTCACAATAATATTTCCCGATTTTCCAATAACATCTTTTAAACTTTTCCATGCCCAAACCAAAGCACACACACAATTACCTTTTGAGCGTCTTCTGCTTCTCCGCATCAACCACGACCTTCTCGCCCGCAACACGAAGCCCCTTGCGCTTCCTCACCTTATCCACATACCGCTTGGCCACATTCTCGCGGTCCGCCAACTCACCCAGATCCTCGAGTTCATCTTCCGTAAAAGGGACCCAGAAGGGATCTTCGTCGAGCATTTCAAATCCTGCAAAGCGGAGCTGGGGCGATGCTGAGCCCGAACTCCTCTTGCGGATCTCGTCGCTGAAGCCAAAGGATTCGGCAACGGGGAGGAGCGCGTTGATGGTGAATGTTTGGGATCCCGTTGTGGACGCCGAGGAAGTTGATGATAGGGTTTCGCTGAGAATGGTGCCTCGCCGACGAGTCAGGACGGCGTAGACACGACCCAGGACATCGGTCGAAGCTTGGATTTCGCAGCTGTACATGGCGAGGAGCATGCGGGGGGACCAGTCAAGGAAGCCCTGGTGGATCGACGAGCGTACGGCTTTGATAACTTCGCCTGTCAGACGGCCACGATCTTGCTGCGCACCTTCTTCTTCGCCCAGGTTCAGCGCCACGGATTCCAAGAAGACGGCGATGCCTTGCACGGGCTCCGCGCAGCAAGGGCCTTGGGCTGTGGCTAGCTGAAAGGCGTAGGCAATAGTTGAGGAAAAGGTGCGGGGGGATATTATGCGGTCTGATGGTTCTTCTGCGTCTGGGTTGGGAGACGATGAGTCGCGTAGTCTAGAATGTTCGTTAGGATGGTTCCAAGAAAAACAGTAATCCGGACATGATCAGAGACTTACGCCTTGCTGCAGATGCCATCTGGGGTTGCATCCACGAGAATGTTAGGTCCTATTCTCCGGGGTCCAAACGCAGTAATCTTCTCAATCACATCGGTCCACACTTCCTTTTGTCCCTTTGCTTCAGCAAAAGCATCTTTAAGCTGCTTTTTGAACTCTTCCAAGCTGAGACTCTGTCCTATCTCACGTTTCTCCGCTTCTTGGATGCCATCGTCTTCAGTTCCATGCTCCTGATGCTCTGCATTTCCGCCTTCGTCTTCTGCTCGTCGGTCAGAGTATAGTTTCTTGATGGCGCCGGCGTTCTTTCCCAAGAAATCGGTGACGCTGGCTGGTAGTGGGCGTACCCGCAGGCGTACTGACACCTGTTTGCTCGCTGTCTCGCCAATAACGGTACCTCTGGGAAGATTAGGGTCCTTTGGCGGATTCATCTCGGCTGCTGCCACAATGGACTCCCGGTAAGGTACGATGGGCTCGCCAGCCTGTATCTCGCACTTGGCGAATCGTTCTTTCAAATCCTTCAAACATCTCTCCAAATGCAGTTCTCCCGCAGTGAGAATCACGTGCTCTCCACTGGGCAGTTGCTCGTATTCTGCACACGGGTCGCTTTGAACAAGGAGTTTCAAGCCTCTGATCATCTTGTCCAAATCATAGGGGTTCTCAGGCTCAAGGGCAACACGGACAATTGGCTCAGTGCCCATCTGGACACCAGCCAGGTTGACAGCTCCGGGTAATTGGGAACACAGCGTACCGGACTTGAGTATGTGTCCTTCGAGTCCACCAATTCCAAAGACAACGCCCGCAGGTACCGAGGTCAAGGGCTCCAAGCCGCGGCCCATCATGAGGTACAAAGCCGTGATCTTGACCTTTTGGGGTTCCGGCGCAGCGTGTGGGTTTGCGGGAGTGAACTTTGGACTGAGAACGTACACTTCATCACCCACGTTGAGAGTTCCCGAAAAGATGCGCGAGAAACCGATCAGGTGTTCTGCCTCTTCCTCAGCTGCCGGAGCCTCCTCTACCGGAGTCTCGGTTTCTCCAATGGTTGAAGATCCCAAAGCATCTGTGACACCACCAACATCTGGATCTTGGCCATTGGCGATTGCTTGCTGGCGGGCAATCTCGGCCCTTTTCTTTCTCCCCAACTCTCTTGCCTCTTCGGCAGTCAGAGCGCCGGTCCTTCGCTTGTTCTGGGGTAGTTCGCTCGAAGGTACCGAGATCATTTTGCTAACGTAAGCTACGACAGGGGCATCGGCTGATGTTTTAAAATTGGTCATTGCATCTCGTACTTGTGGATCAACGTAATCGGCACCCGGTGAGGTGTCAATAATTTCAGGCATGCGTTCGAACTGCGCTTTGGATGGTGGAGGTAGGTATTCGGTCACGGATACTAAGAGAGCGGTCGAGAGCGGAAGCCAGGCTGCGAAAAGCGCCATCAAGAGAGTCCTGGGGTCGCGGGAGCGCATAACGTGTGCAGGGAGGTTGAGGTTGAGCGACTTGGTAATCTTCTCGACCATGGTAGCATCTCTGTAATAAAAGGCATAAGTATATTGCTAAGATACATGTGGAAAGTAGCACACAAGGAAAGGAAATCCACGCACCCCTTCCCATTGTTACCTCCTGTAGTGGCCTCGTATACGGCCCAGATGTTGTCCAAGACGAGCTGGACAAACATGGGCTTGAGGTGTCGGCCCTTGAGATGTTTTGAGCTAAGGACACGCTTGGTCTTGGGGTCGAGGTAGAAGTCACCCCAGAGGACTTTTTCGAGAATAGAGCGCTTGATGCCCAGCTTCTTCTCGTACAGGCCTGCAAACTGGCGCACAGTGAAAGCCCAGCCGTCAATGGCACTGCCAAAGATGACGTTGTTCTTTTCTGGGGCAAAGTAGATGTCTTCATCGTCCTTTTCCTCGTACTCGGCGGGGGTACTGGTCATGTCAATGCTATCACCATTTTCTAGCATAGATGAGGATCGCGTGTCAGTCTTGTCAGCAGCAGCGGCAGCGGCATTGAGGCGCTCTTCCATTTTCTCGCGCCACCGGAGATCATCCTCCATGCGCTCGCCTTGGTAGAAGCTGCCCATGACGGCGTTTACCTGTTCAAGCAGTTTGCTCAAGTGCGTGTATGCCTCGGCAGGGCTCATTTTGAGTTCTGTGATTAGCCTATCCATCTTGTTGATGACGAGCAGGGGCTTAAGTTTCTCTATCCACGTCTGTCGCAGGACGGTGACAGTCTGGCTGCAAACGCCCTCGACGGCATCTACGAGCACGACGGCGCCATCGCAGAGGCGGGATGCTGTAGATACCTCGTAGCTAAAGTCTATGTGTCCGGGGGAGTCTATGAGGTTGATGAGGAATTCCTTGTGCTCGGGGGTGGCGTCGGGGGCGGAGCGACGTAGCGAGGAAAAGAAGAGGGAGATGGCCGACGACTCCATGGTGATGCCACGCAGCTGCTCATCGGGTCTCGAGTCGAGGTAGCGGATCTTGCCGGCGAGCTTGGGGGAGATGATGCCATTGGTGGCGATGAGGGCGTCGGTGAGGGACGTCTTGCCATGGTCCTATGTGGGCGTGTTTAGTGGGCGTGGGTGAATGGGGCTGAAGGAGGGGAGGGGCGACGTACGACGTGGGCCAGGATGCAGATGTTCCTGATGCCGTCAGCAGCCTGCTGCAGGGCGACGAGCTTTTGACTGGCAACGACAGGCATCCTGGCGGTTGCGAGTGTTTCAGTGGTGATGCAGCGAGGGCGCGCGTGCAGTGGTCAAATTGGAGGGGAGGGGTGCCTGCGGGCGCTCGTCAGGCTGCGAGGGCGCTGTGTGGGTATGCGAGGGCGCGTGGACGGGGGCGAGTGAAACAATCAGGATGTGGAGCAGCAGTAACAGCTGGTGTCTACGCATCTATGGACATGGAGTCTCGACTCGACCGCATCGCCATATCTATTACGACCATCATCCCGCGTCAGCATGGCTCACTTTTTTTTTGTGGAGGGGCGGCGGCGGCAGCGGCAGCCAAGCAGAGGAGTATGCACCAAGACGTCAGCGAGCCCACTATGGTACTACTACTACTACTACTACATACTAGAGTACATACTCGGCCCGTCTGTCCAAAATGTATATCCACAAAAATAAAGGTACACGTGCAGACATGGAATGTGCCTCGACGTGCTCTGCGCCCTGTTGCACCAGACATGTAGTATACCTACACATGTACATGTTGGTTGGGGTGACTTTTGGTTGCGCCGGTCATCTGGCCGGCAGTCGTGGTCGCGGCCAGCGATGGGCTTGGTAGGTCGCGCGGGCCCGCCCATGGCCCTGCATCGCCCCTGTCCCTGTCCTTCGCGTATGTGCTATGTATGTCTGTATGTTCCATCTCTCTCACTCTCACCCCCAATAACACTCGCAATATACTCGACCCCCTCGACCTCCGCTCTCCCATGCCCGTCCCAAACACATACATACACACACGCACACACACGCACACATACAAACACCCTCGCTCCTGCACTTCACTGCATCCAGCCTGCCGCCCGTGAATGTAACTCCCACACCCCCCGACATGGCAGCCACACTGGACAACCACCCGCCCACACTCCCGCCAGACATGCGCCCTACCGCCATGCCCCTCGACACGCCCGCCATGCCCAACTCCAAGACGATCAACACCACCGTCGACCTCATGTCGCCCGTCAACCAGAATGGCTGCTTCGAGTTTGACCGCATCATCAAGGCCGGCACGGTGGTGAAGCGCACGCGCAAGACAAAGGCATGCCCATGGCCACTGCTGCCCCAGACGTCTGCTAACTCGCCTTGTAGTCATGGAAGCCCGTCTACCTTGTCCTGCGCCCAAATTGCCTCTCCATCTACAAGGACAAGGACGAGACCAAGCTGCGCCATCAGATCAACCTCGCCGAGATCACTGCCGTCGCCCGCCAACGAGACTCGAAGAAGAAGATGGACCACGTCTTTGGCATCTTCTCCCCTGCCCGCAACTACCACCTCGGCGCCTCGACCGACAAGTCCGCCCAGGAATGGGTCCACCTCATCCGCACAGAGGCTCGCATTGGCGTCGAGGACGAAGCTGACATGGCCGTCCTGAGTCCAGCTCCTGACAAGGTTACTTTTGCTGCTTCTGCCTCGGCCAATCGGGAAAACATCGTCTCTAGCTCTTCCGAGGCTGAACCGCGACCCTCGAGTTCCATGGTACCTGAGCACATGCACAGCGCCCGCCGACCCTCGCAGGCACTCAACTACTCGGGCGGCGAGTACGGCTCCATCTCCGACTTTGACTTTTCCGACACAAACCAGGCCTCGCCCAATCCGCTGCCCCGACAGATGACACAGGATAAGCGCAGTCTTAGCCAGCACAGCAACATTGGTAACACACCCGGCGACGAGCGCGTCGTCTACCATGGCTGGCTGTACATCCTCAAGTCAAAGGGCGGCGTGCGCCAGTGGAAGAAGATCTGGCTCGTCCTCCGTCCAAAGTGCCTCGCCTTTTACAAGAACGACGGAGAATACTCGGCCACGCACATCATTCCTTTTACGAGCATCATCGACGCCGTCGACATTGACCCCCTCTCGCGCAGCAAGCAACACTGCATGCAAGTCATATGCGAGGAGAAGAACTACAAGTTCTGTGCATCCGACGACGATTCGCTAGCAAGATGGCTCGGAGCATTCAAAAGCTTGCTTGTCAAAAAGGACGCGCAGCAGATGCGCATCCTCCCGTCAGCCACCAACACGGCAAACACACAACCGCCACCTGTGCCAGCATCCATACCACAACCTGCCACTGCCACTGCCGCGTGACCACCGCCCTACCCCTTCATCACCACTGACCTCTCCTTGAAGATCCAGGCACAATGTACATATGCTGGCACCGTCCATAATCGCTAATAGCGACAGCACTTCTGCACCATCTCCTCGACCAAAACGATACCATCATGATTTACGATCGCAACCGTTAGCACCGCTGCCTAGATGGCGCGCTCCGTTCGATACCAGTTGGATAACCCCCGCTGCTTGATACTGCATATCACAGCACATCTCAGTCTCTCTCAAACACACATATCTCTTGTTTCCTTTTGTCCTTGTAGTAAGCTTGTGCAAATATATCGCTGTACACTAGTAGTGTTTTTGTAATATCCAACACGCCCTTGAGCTGGGCTTGAATCTTATTCCTTTGTTAGGTCATCGGTCGCTTTGTTGTGAATTCAGTTGATGATGGTATCGAATCGCATATTATTATTGTTCTAGTAGTTCATGTTCAGTTGTCGTTGTTGATATGATCCCTGGCTTGGCATCTCCATCTGCATCGGGCCCGTCCCGCGGGGGACATGACATTTCGGACCCCACAGCACGCTAGCATGACGAGGGCTGAACGGCAACGCTAACCGTCCCTCCTGCAGCTATCAGCCTAGGACCCCTATGTCGCCTCGGCTCATCATGTTCGCTCCTACATTCTTCTTCTCTCTTCGGCCAGCTTCCTGCTGTCCCTCTAGATCTGTTGATGCATGGAGCCCGAGCCAGACTCGCAGCGACCCGATAGTCGACAATCGGACGAATGGGGCCCTACCCCCAGCTTCCACGCCAACGACAGTAGCGACGAGAAAAGCATCATTTACTTGACCGATCACCTCGGTATTCGTTATGTCCTTCCTTTTCAGCAATTTCGCTCCAAAGAGGCACGTCTACCATGTTACCTTTTCATGTTTTCCCTCTGCACACATACTTATACACTGCAATCACGAACCCCCGCGCTTGTGTAACTACTGACCCATGACATTGCAGGGCGGAAAGCCTCTTTTGAAAGAAATATATGCCAAGTATGGCCAATCTTACCTAGACAAAATCACAAAGGACGATTATGTGTTGAAGAGACGGGATGTCACTATACTCCCAAGTGTTTGGGATGCTGTTGTACGGCCCAGCATGATTCTCCATATAAAATTTACACAGGAGGAGTCTGACTCTGAGGCTGATTATCGTCAACGTCCATCGTCTCCTTCTCACTCGTGGTCACCTGAAAGCTTCTACCGACACCATAATGAGCGACATATTGAGCGAGACATTAAGCGAGATGGTGTACATGACACTGGCGATGACATTCGCGTCGTAACATTTGAGGACGATTCGCCATGGGTGCCGCCGGTACCTCGTCAGGACACTGACCTTGTCTCCGACACCGATTCTTTTGAAAGCGTCACGTCAATGAGCGACCAAGATTCGCCTACAGAACAAGTAGACCCACCGGAGCCGCCTCGTGAGGTGATTGCTCCGATGGATGTTGATGGCAACCAGCTATCCTTTCGAGTCGACACAAGGCATGTACAAAACCTAATTGGATTCGGCCAGGGCCTCCAGGATCAAAAAAACGACATGCAAACTCACCCAAAAAGAAAAGATATTGACAACTATCGCGTCGAGACGTTTCGAATCACTAAAACCATGATCAAAGAGACTCAAGGACAGGGCCAGCTTCAGGTCTACGTTCTACCAGGGCCGGAAAATCCCCACTTGCAAGATGCAGTATCATTTACATGGAGTCATATTTCGGCCACTCAGCTTGATTTTGCTAGTTTCAGGGATGTCTGCCTGACCGTACCACATGCCAGTGATCGGCTACGCAAACTCACTTCAGAGATGTTTACCAAGATGTACACGGAAAAGGTCAAGCCTTTCGACGGTGGCATGTTCATCGAGCCCGGGACGGTTTTGCGAGCTGATGAATCAGATCAGCCAGATCCACAGTCTGTCATCTTCGCCTGCGTCCCATACTTTGCCCTGAACACTCAAGCCAAGAAGCCTCCCCGTGCCGAGAATGAGCTATTTCCACAACGAACTTTGATGCAAACATTCTATCCCTACGAGCCAGTACGCGATCGAGATGAGGAACAGTCATATCGGAGATTTGACGACGCACGCTCCGAGAACATCATCCACGTACCGAATATCTGGTTTATGATCATGGGATCGAGTCATGTTGTATCGTGTAGCCATGTGCCACTCTCCAAGGAGATGACAAATTTAGTAGCTATCATCCAGGAGAATGTCAAAAACCTTGGTGTTCAGCCTGCTGCAGACAACGATTTGACAATGATCAAATTTTCGGATTGGGGAGAACGTGATTTCGTGTTCCCCCTTAGCACTTGCAGATCTTACTTTCAGATGGAGGCAAAGGTTCGCATGATTGGATACATGTTCAACAATAAGAGTTTGGATGCCGAGATCCATTTGCAGCAAAGATCCCGAGAGAGCAGCTGCAGTCTCCTACCGAACATGTGGAGGGATATCACCGTGCGGAATGATCTCCTTTCAATCAATCTGGTAGTAGCGGGCGACAAAGAAACAGGTCAAGCTGACAAGGATCCAACCGCTACATACAGCGCCTACAACAGCGACAAAAGCAGAACCGTGTCAGTAACCCCTTTTTTCCATTGGCCACAACATGGTGCTAGTAAAGCAGTCAAAAACGACAAAGACGCAACGTCAGTGGATGGTTCCAGTGCACAGCAGCCTTCTCGTTGCCTGGAGCAGGTTGGAAAGGCTCTGATGACTAAGATTCTGGAAGGAGCCACTACAAACACTGTCGATGAAACATTTACCTCGACCAGTTACTATGAATCACTGCCCAAGGCAACCTACGCAGATGCTTGTGCTGACTTTGCCAATCTTAAACGTCGATGCGATGCAGTTGAGAAAAGTTTGTCCAATTCTACCTTCCATCAGAACACGATCAACGGCCAGCGAACTAGCCTTGTGGACAGATCGACGGAATTCTTCACTCTCTCTTGCATCATCACCAAGCTCTTCCTCAGCGACACGGATGAGAGCAGCGTGATGAGCAAGCTGTGGGGTGTTATGGTCAAAATCCAGCAGCACGTGGCCAAACTCGAGAAGTATAACCCTTGTAGTGGGGAAAGTGGCAAAGACGCAGTTCCTTCAGAGGACGATGTGCACACAACTGGCAACTCTTGGCTGATCCGTCCCATAGCGAAGCCTAGTCTAGTGTCTTTTCCAGAAAGCCGTCCAGAATTGTCCAAGTCAATCGCAGCGTGTAAGACATGTAGAAGGTTACACACGTTTCGTAGCCAAGAAGATGCGCTTAGACATCTGCAGCGCCACACCAACCGTGAAAGTGAGCCTGGGAAGCGACAGAAGACTACTGAGCCGGGTGGCTTACCAGATGAACAAATCCCAGCCGAGGATGTCCTTATAGATCCGCAAGCAAAGGACTGGATCATGGCATCGGCAGAATTTTGGCATGAACAGACCAATGCGGGAGCACTGGCAATACTCACAAAGGCATGCACTCTGGCAAAGAACATAATTGAGCAAGCTCAACAACTCATGGACGGAGTCCAAAACGAAGATGGCCAGATGTCTGAATTGTACTCTCTGCCCAAGGAGCTCCCTGAAGCATTCCGCCGCATCATTGTCTTCTTCATGGCGACCGAGCGAGCTTTGGACGATGTCGACAAGGCCCATGGACATGAATATCGATTCAAAGATTTGTATGAGCGTAGCATTCTACCATATTCAGACAAAGGCCTCGATGTCTTGGAAAGATTTGAGGCAGGTGCAATGCAGTCGCTGAGAGTTGCACGTGCACGTTTGTGCGAAATGGCTTCTTCCCCCTCGCCATGGCGTGTGATGGAGCACCTTTCTCGGGGACCTCAGTATGTCTGCGGCGAGCTGATGAGGAGACTGTTCCTGAAGCCGCTTGAGAAGCATCAAACGGTGGGCGATTTGTATCGGGAGTACATATCGAGGCTCGTAAGTAACTGCATCATCTATGCCTTGAACATTTGGAGCAGACAGCGTGACATGAGCGAATAATGCTGAGCTAATGTCATGTAGCAATTCCAAGTCAACCATCACCCGAGTAAACGACTCCTTCGGGACCTCAATCTTCTACAAGAAGAACTCCAGATCCTTACGTCGATAACCATACAGCAGGTAAATCTTATCAAGAACTACATGCGTGTTCTCTACGACGAAACGTATGAGAAGCCAACACCATCCCGACAAAGCATGTTTGTGGACGAGCAGAGTCTGTTCCGAGGTTGCCTTAGCAGTCTCAATCTTGTCCTGGAAGATTACGAGGACCTCATTCGACGCTGTAGTCCCCTGGCCAATCGTACAAAGCAGAGTCTCGAGATTAATGATGAAGATCACGGCAAAGCCATCATGGCTTTCACGGTGGTGACTGTCATCTTTCTGCCGCTGTCGTTTGCGACGAGCTATTTTGGGATGAACACTGTGGATATCCGTGACATGAACCAGAAGCAAGGGCTTTTCTGGATTGTGGCCATACCGCTGACTGTTGTGACGGTGGGGGCTTGTCTACTCATTGGATACAACGGCGATCAGCTTCGTGACATGATTTCATGGCTATATCGCAGGGCAATGGGCAAGGAAGAAACTGGTACTGGAGGCGGAGGCATAAGCGTTCCACGGCGGAAACGTCCACTCCATCCACTCGGAAATTCAAGCAGTACACTTCAGTACTCGAGCGTCGTTGATGAGGCCACATTTGCTATTCGCCAGCCAACTCTGGAGTGGGGCGGTGTAGCACACTCGGGTCCGACTTGGGTAGACGATGACGAAGACGATGCCTGGTACAGAAAACGGTATAATGCACCTGTGACCAAAACAAGACTCAACTCTCGCCCGGTAGCTCGAATGCAATCTTATGCCGAACCGATCTCTATGGCCCCGGAGCCTTCGTACAGAATACATCCCATTTCGTACAAACAGAGTATACACCATGGCAACGAGTATGTTGCAGCACCCCGAAACAGGACTTACGATTCGTATACCGAAGCAATGGGGCGTGTTCGCTACGACTATGACGAAGAGAGTTTCTACAAGGGAGGTGAGCGATATGGCTTACCACCGCGCCAAACATTCCGAGCAGAAGTGCCGATGCGCAGACCGGCAGTCAGGATATATGAGACTGAGGCGCTGAAAGATGATGAAATGGGCGGATACACGTGGGAAAAGAAGAAGTCGCATAGAAGTCATAATGATAACAGACGCATGCGTAGCGACCGAGGTTTTGAGACGAGAGATGAGAGTTGGTACCGGTAGAAGCAGTGTGTGCAGGTAGTCGGAGATGGAGCGGCGGGCTCATTCAGCAACACAAGAGGAAAGGCGGAATACGATATGTACATGTGTGCATATATGTTCGCAAAGGATGCATGTACCGACAAAGTGGCCGTGACGCATGGTAGAGAGAGGGAGCGAGTTGGGAGGAGCACAGACAGGGACAAAGGAGCCTCGTGCATCGGCTGATCGGCCTGGATATCCATGTAGGCACATCAGTCTTTGCCCAGTGGGTGTGGGATGGCGCAGGGCGGGCAGATCTACTGTCTAAAACCATGAGCCGCTACTGCCGGGATTTGGCTGGGTCACGCAAAATGCCCGGTTTTGTGCTTTTGATTCCGCCCTTGACGTGTTCGTGCGCGCGCCGACTGGTGAGCTGTGTAGCGGGCGAGGCTAGAAGGGGAGGAGAAAGCCAATGATGTAGGCTTGGGAGATGAGAAGTAGTGTGGACGCGACGGATGGGGTAGCGCGACGCGAGAAACAAAGACAAGTTGGTGCCAGTGCTGGTGCTGCAAGACCGACGTCGTCATCGTTTTCAGCGGTGTGGGCGGCGAGAACGCGCACTAGCAGCAGACGCTAGCACTGGCTGCATGCCAAGCAAAGCTTGGTATTCAGACATGTGGCGCATCGCCATACGGCTTGCGACCAAGCAGCAGCGCGTGTGCGTATAGTAATGCCATCTCAAGGGTGCATAGCAAGCACAAACCCCTAATTTATACCATGCACATACTCGTGCAGTCCTTGATAGTAGTGCCGAAGCAGGGCAGCGTCCGTGTTGCAGCGGGGGCGCGTAAGAAGCGCTGGCGGAAGGGGTGGCGCCACACTCGCATCGCACGGAATCGGAGAGTGTGGCTGACAGGTTCTTGTGCCATGACGCAACCTACACGCAGCACATTGCATCGTCTGGGAAACCTGGCGCCGATCCATCCCCAAACAAAGACCAAAAGGTTCGTCATACCAGCCATGACGGGCCTTCTTGTCTGTTGCCAACGCATGCACAATTGTGGCTCTAGACGGCATGCACATGCAATGGCTTCAAGGGGATGGGTGCAGGTGGTGGGTGGCGGCACGTCGCGTGGGCGTCAATCGGGAGGGCAGGAGGCGGCGAGGGATGGTAGCATAACATAGCATTAGCATGGCATGGCGGGCGGGCGGTAAGCAGTCGCGGGGTCAAGCAGGTTCACCAGTGCCAGTGGGAAGCTACGACTGAGTGACGTAGTCGCTGCACTCCCCCGTGTTACCCAGCCCGACTCACATACAAAGCTGCTTTTGTGCCCGCAGTCCGCCCTCATTTCCCTCACACACACTCATACCACTCTCAGATACCCATACCCCCTCCTGTGACAGCAACCACCTGCCTCACAACTGTCCATTGTTTTCCTTACCGCTTCTGCGTTTGTAATTTTGATACCCCACCTATACCCTTGATACCCACAGTGCGACCTACACCATGAGTGCCGTAAATCGTACGTTCAATAACCCCGCCCCACTACACGCTCAAAAGTATGTGCGCTAACACCATGCAGGTCCAGTGGACTTGAAGCAAAAGGAGAAGGATGTCAACAACAAGCTCCAGCTCTATGGAATTGTTGAAGGTATGTTGCCTCATGGACACGTGCCGTTGCTGCAGCGATGCTAATAAAACACTATAGCCTTCTCCAATGGCAAGGTGCCATCCAACAGCCAGATTGATGTCGCTCTCAACTCGGCACTCGCACACCGGGCACTCAACTCACCATCCAAGAAGCTGTCGCCCGAGGGCCAGAGTCTCGTCACAGACTTGAAGAACGTCATTGAACAGGCCAAGATCCTGCTACTCACCAAGAACGAGGGCAACCTCCTCCAAGACTTCATCTGGCAGGCTGAGCACGTCAGCACAGCTGGCGCTAACCGCCCCAATGCCCCTGTTGATAAGGACACAGCGAGGCAGGACGGCAACAACGCTCTCGAAGGCCTGCGCACCCTTGGCACGCTCCTCATCTCCAACGGCCAGTTCAGGAAGCTTCTTTCTGATGCCACTGTTCTTCTCCGCGACATGGCCGGTGATGCGGCTATGAACACGGCCAATAAGGTTAAGCCCTCAGAAGACCGCCTCAACAGACTGGATGAGCCCGCCGAGGACAACACCTGGCACGACACCTCCAACCTGAATCGCGAGAACCTCCGCAACCAAGCTAAGAGCAGCCTGCCATTTGGCAACAAGAACAAGGGTGACCTTAAGGAGGCAGCCAAGGATGTCAACCAAGCAGCTAACCCAGAGGGAGCCCGCGACCCCACGCACACTGCTGATCTTGCTGCCACCGAGGGCCAGACTGGTCAGAGCACCGGCCTTGACGTTCGCAGTGGTGTTGAAGCCGCTAAGCAAAAGGTTGATGCAAACACCTCTGATGAAGACAAGCAAAAGGTCCGCGCCCGCCGTGAGCAGCTGAACAACTACCTCAAGGGCAAGATGCCAGAGGAGCGTCGCGAGCAGACTAGGTGGCGCCTCAAGAAGATGATTGTCGAGATCCAGGGTCACCAGGACTACCAGCGTGCGATTGAGACTCTTCTCGACCTCGCCGAGCGCTACTCGAGCCATGGAAGGATTCTGAGCCAGCAGGGCAAGGGCTCTGTGCAAGGTGCGCATCAAGACGATGCACTAACTACTGCTGAAGCTGACCTGAGGGTGCGTATCTAGGCTTTACTCAAGAGAACCAATGGCTGACCAACATGAAGACTCTCCTCGAACGCTTCGCCAACAACACGTCTTTTGACGACCTGATTGAGTCCATCAACCAGATTTACAAGGACGCCGACCGCGATCCCGAACTCAAGAACTGGTTCAAGCGTATCAACGCCTTCATCCGCAAGACCCTGCAGCAACAGGGCTTTGTCCTCGAGGACAGCTTCAACGCCGAGTGGAACCAGCTCTACGATGATGGCCACCACTTCTTCCGTGACCGTTACCGAGGCCATACTGACCGCATTGCTGATGAGTTCAAGTTCATTGGCCAACAGTTTGATGCCGACCCCCAGAACAAGCAGTTCGCCGAGTCTGTCAACAAGCTTTTCCGTGACCTTGGTCAGGACGAGAATGGCAAGACTGTCTTCAAGCCCCATCTTGTCAAGGACATGACTGACGTCATTCTTCCTGCCATCTTTGAGAATGTCCGTTACATTCCCGTTCCCCGCATCGAGTACAGCGACCCCATGGTAGACGCTGTCATCGAGAACCTCGTCATTGAGGGCGACAACCTCGCACCCAACTCTCTAGAGTTTGGTTCCGACAACTACTGGCGCTGGGGCCGCAAGTCCATTACCAGCACCAACAAGAACAAGGTTATGCTCTCCGTCTCGGGTGTCCAGATGGACCTGAGGGACGTCTCTTACTACATCAAGCGCAAGCAGGGCTTCCCTTCCATTACCGACAAGGGTGTTATGGACATCTTCATGGGTGGCTCCGGCTTCAGCTTCAAGGTTGAGATGGAGACTGCCGACAAGGCGCGCGAGCACGCGCAGACCCACTTCTTCAAGGTCACCAAGGTCGAGTCGGACATTAAGCACCTGCAGATCAAGATGAAGAAGAGCAACCACAAGCTCCTCTTCAACATGTTCAAGCCTCTCCTCCTCAAGGTCATGCGTCCTGTCATTCAGAAGGTCTTAGAGAAGCAGATCAAGGACTCTGCTAACCAGCTCGATGCCATCCTCTTTGACATCAAGTCCGAGGCTGACCGTGCCGCGGCTGAGGCCAAGAACAACCCCGACCCTCAGAACATCCAGAACATCTACCAGCGCTATGCCAGCTCTGCCCAGCGTCGCCTCATGCAAGGCAAGCAGAAGAAGGAGTCTCTCAAGGAGAAGACCAAGGATACCAAGGTCAACGTGGCCGTCACCCAGCACGACTCCATCTTCAAGAACATCTCCCTGCCTGGAGGTATCTCATCTAAGGCTACAGAGTACAAGGAGCTTGCTGCCAAGGGCGACAAATGGGAGAGCCCCATCTTCTCTATTGGATCTGCCAAGGAGACTACCAGCCTGCCTCAGGTTGGAAAGATCACTCGCAAGCCGCACGGTCGTGCGGGTGGCTACAGCCCCTCCGATGATGCTTCCCGCGGTCTCGGTGCTTCATCGGGACTCAACCCGTCAACCAACCAGTACGACAGCCAGTACACCAACAATGGTGGTCTTGGTGCTCAGCCAGGTCTCACCACGGGCAACCAGGGCTTGACTGGTGGCGTTCCTGCTACCAGCGGTGCTACTTCGGGCTTCGGCAACCAGGTTGACGACGCTTTCAACACTACTGGTTCTACTGGCTTGAACAACGCCGCTGCCATTCCACCCACGACGAGTCAGACTGGCGCTGCCGCCCCTGGCCAGTACAACACCACATTTGGTGACCAGAACCCTGTCTTCCAGGGCCGCGCTTAGATGCATCTTCTCAAACAGTGATACCCGGTATGCTTAGGGGTCGCCCGTCACGATGATTGTGTTTTGTTTTTGCGTTTTGACCATGGATGATACCACGATTACGTCACGGCGTATGAATAGTAAATGGCATGTTCTTCGGTTTCTGGTTGATGGCAAGCACAAGGTAGCCGGAAGTGTACCTGTAATGCGGAGGAATGGGGGAGGACCCGTATATTCAAAACTGGGTTATGAATAGTTTACGATTCCTTTCCTGTAGTAATAGCTAATACAATGATGCTTTAAATTGGCTGATTTTTGCCGTGATTGATGGTGTTGCTTGAGTGCGGGTATTGCATAATATATGTTGGCTTTTCAACATCTCATAATGAAGTTGTAAAGTCAACTCCATATACGTGAGTATGGACATCTATGTAGTCACATTAATCTCGGCCGCAGGAACAGAGTATTCAAAAGAGGAGAGTGGTGGACCTGCCAACAACTCATGCGTTCAATGGCTTGCCCAAAACAAAAACTTTACGTGTTTACCGCAATTGGTTATGACCGACGGTAAGGTCAATAACAGAGCGGAGTAACATTGCCCGACCGGACAGACGGATTACCTCAGCTCGGTAACAACACTAAGCCCCAAACAGTCATCTCACTCCACCTCTCGGAAGCAACCAACAACCGCTAGTACCCGAATTGTGTGTGTGTGTGTGTGTGTGCAAACAGCAAATCATTCCCCCCCGCAATCTTGTTAGCAAGCTCCGCTTCCGCACAACGGGGAAATGATGGAGCTACACGTCATTCGAAAAAAAAAACTGGGGCGACAAGAAGGGGCACGAGGGGCGTCCGAGTTCGCTCAAACTGAGCAGAAAGTTTGTTCATGTTTTGGAGCGGGGTAAGTAGGTGTACATGGTCGTGAGGGGGAGCCGGGTGTGTGTGGGGGGTATTGGGGGGGAGGTGGAGGTATAAAAGAGGCGTGGGTGGGTTGGAAAGTGTGTACCTTAGTTTTACCCATTGAAACTGTAGTACGAGAGTTTGTTAGTTTGTTGGAATTGGAATTGAATGGAGAACATATGATGGCTTCGAAAGAATACAAGTTCCCGGCTTTTGATGAGGCGCCAAAGGTTGAGGGTATGGTAAGTTTGCTTCTTTTTTTTTTTTGACATGGTATACATTTTTTTTTCTGAGGGAGGGGCGGATGCGGGTTATTTGGAAAGATATGAGAACTGACATGGGTATATTCAAAAGCCCCAAGGCAATCTCTGGGGTTTCTTCGACGAAGACGGCAAGAAAGATGAAGTAGGAAGTACGTCCTCCCTTCTCCCACCCATACACGTCAAACTAAACTACCCCCAAAGCAATCAACCTCCTCACCCCCTCGGTCGTCAAACGCGCCGCTTCAGAAGAAATCCGTACAGGCACCTCGATCCAACTCGACTGGGAACTACACAATGTGCAATTCCCCGGTTTCAACCGCAAACCCTTTTCGCAAAAACAAATCGACTTTGGCACCTTCTCTTCGCTCTGCGCAAACGACGACGAACTCCACATCAACACGCAGGCAGGTTCGCAATGGGATTCTCTAAAGCACTTTGCGCATCAGGCAACGGGTACGTATTACAATGGGCTCACGCATGCGGAGGCGGCCAAGAGCGATACGAATGGCACGCATAAGTGGTGTGAGCGTGGGGGCATAGTGGGCAGGGGTGTGCTGTGTGATTGGTTGAGGTGGTATGAGGAGACCAAGGGGAAAGGAGCGCCGAGTGCGGTGTCGAGGCATGCGATTCCGGTCGAGGAGGTGCAGGAGACGCTTAAGTGGCAGGGGACCGAGGTTAGACAAGGAGATGTGTTGGTGGTGAGAACGGGGTATGTAAGGTGGCATAAGTACGTTTTTTTTTCCTTTCTCTTTTTCCTTTTACCCCCGGAGGTCTTGAAGGGGGGAAGGGGGGGGGGGGAGAAAGCGCGGATGGTTGGATGAGGAGCTAATGGGATGTAGTAATGCAACAGAAGCAGAGCGAAAATCAGGCACCCAGGATAACAACGTCGCCATTGGCCTGGAATCCTCGGAGCGCACCGTCCGTTGGCTTTACGACTGCCACTTGGCGGCCATTGCTGCCGATAATGTCGCTCTTGAGGCGTGGCCCCCGAAATTCCAAGACGGATGGTGTTTGCATGAGTGGCTACTTGTGCATTGGGGTACGGCCATTGGCGAAATGTGGGATTTGGAGAAACTGAGTGACAAGTGTAAGGAGGAAGGGAGGTATAGTTTCTTTTTGACAAGCGCGCCGTTGCATGTTAGGGGTGGGATTGGGAGTCCGCCGGGGGCTATTGCGATTTTCTAGGTGAAATGCATTGGGTGCAATGGCGGTTAGAATGGTGGATGTATAAAGTATGGGTTTGAGTTACCATCTTATTTGATATTGGTTCGATGCGGCTTTGAGCACGGCACGACGCGAATGGGGTATGCACGTGGTGATTGTATATCAAACATTTTGTTATTTGACTGTCGTTTTCATCCATGCCAGTTTTTCTTTTTTTGCTTTGCTGATGCCATAATGACCCTAATTAAGTATGTGGGCATGAAAAGTAATTTAGTCAATTCTGTTTGGTGTTATATAGGAAATGAACAAAAGTCCTATGAATATTCGACATTAGGGATATCGCGATACTCGGGGTTTTCAGTTTCTAGAGCTCTTTGCTTGTTGTGATGGTGGCAGGGGGTCTGGGCTAATAAGGTAGTTATGGATAAGGTTTTGCCAATTTGGTATTTATTGCCGTTTGACGTAGATACAAGAAGGGAATAATATTAACGACTAGTTTATGTGAACATGGGAAATTGTGAATCTAGAGTATTGAGACAATTCACCATCGGAGGCTCCCTTTCTCTCTCGTTATCCCAGCCTCGTCTCGTACTTCCTGATTGATAGAAAGACTAGGCTCACGAACGTTTCAATCATGTCTTCTGCTTGGGCCAACCAGCGGCTCTGCACCATTTTGGTAATTATTCACACATACCATTCTATTCTTAGTAGCTGTTAAAACGTTCGCAGTGATACTGGCTTGCACAGTAGTATTAACTATTTGTACAGTTATATGTCCCCTCTCTATACCATTATATCAGGCTAGCCGCGGCTATGCCTAGAACTGGAATTCTCCGATAAGGCGTTCATGCTACTGGGACATTACTCATACGCGAGGAAGGATGCCGGCCTTCGTTTACTCAGCGGGCGGCATGCACGAGCCACCTACTATAGTACCGTTTTGTCACCAAAGCCCAGCTGTTTCTATCTTACGCCAGGCATAGCCTACTCAGCCAATCACTGTCGGGAACATTTACTACTAATGACGCTGCGAAATGGCCTTCATGTAGGATGAGCTGAGATGTTGCAGTTGATGATATTTACTCTGTTCGGGCATTTCTACGTATATACCTGATATTCCGCACCTAACGGTGCGACAGCCAGATATCCCCACTGATACCTATTCGACTTGATCACAACACAAAACCAAACAAACACCGCAACTACGCGCAGTACCGTCAAACCGCCACATTGCTAGTTTTTCTTGAATACTAGGGAATGGCTATTATGGGTTCTTTCCTCTCATCCAAAGTCCCACCGCCCCGTCCAGCCAAAAACTACATACTTTCTTTTCCAGAAGATGATTTCCCCGAAGAAGCAAGCAAAGCCCCCGATGACGTACAGGACTGGTATTCTCATTTCTTCGAAACCTTGTTCTGTCTCCCTCACAAGGACGGCAAGAGCATACTTATCCTGGAAGCCCCCGAAGACATTGAGCCAGACTCGCGAGCAAGGCCGGGTTGAGCGCGCAAGCGCTTGAGAGGAGCGTATGAACTTCTTGGAGAGAGACATCCCAGGATCGTCTGGTACGTTGTTTTTTTCTTCAGAGAATCATTATGCTTTTCGTCTCACCAAAATAGCTATCTTAGGCCGCTGGAAAGCGACATTGGCGTTGTTGTCGAGAGGCTCGAGCCTGGACCTATTGAGTGGCACTCGCTTCCAGCACTGACTGTACCTCTCCTGCAAGACCTGTCAGAAAATGGCCGCTTGCTGCTGAGCCTGTACTATCGGTGGGCATTGCAGGTGCTCTCAGCGTTGCAATTCGCCCACTCGCGATCCGTGTTCATCCGAAACTTTTGCACGGAGCTCGTGTGGCTAAGGTCGGATTTCTCGCTCGCAATCGCGGGGTTCCTTGCCGCATCAGCACCGCAGATTGAAGAGGAAAACAAACAGGATGGCATTGCTAGCGCAAGGGAACGCCTGCAGGATTCTGCGTATCCGAACCCGATGACGCTGGAAGAGTTTGATCGTAGGGTTAGGGAGGAGGGGTATGCGCCATGGCCGTTTAGCGATGGCGAGTGGATTATAGATGGTAGCGTGAGCGATGCTATTTACGAAGGAGACGAGGAGCATGGGAGCGTGAAAGAAGACTTGTTAGTACCGCTGATCTGTTTGCCAAGTGCAGCTCTAACTAGGCGTGAATTCTAGGTACTATTGGGCTATATTCGTCAAATACCTTGTCAACAACGTCTTTGCAGATGCATCCGCGTTGCAAGACGGGATGCCCGACGAAATTGAAGATGTACGCCTAGGCATCATTATCGCGAATGCTGAGAATGGTCGGTACAAGGATGCCGCTGAGGTTATGAAAGACGTCAAAGCTGCGGCTGCGAAGATGGGAATCAAGATTGTGGGTGATGACGAGGTCGATATTGATGGTAAGTGGGAAAATGTCTTTGAGATTTGTGAGAGGCAGTTGCGTTTCCGCGAGGAGGAATAGACCATCACTCGAAGTTATAACGCTATACACATGTAAAGTACCGGGAGTGGTGCGAATAAAAGTTCATGTGTCACTCTCCACCGGTCCATATCCTTTCTGCTTGTTTAACATCATTTACCACGTCTTTACGCCACATCAATACAATATACGTAGTCCGACCAAAGACCAGCGCAATTGCCATTCAAAGCTAGGTTTAGTGGGTAGAGATGGTCTGACGAAATGCCTGCCGCAGCCGCCATGTCGTAACAATAAACATCAGTTTTTTGCAACCCCCACTTGTTGTAGTTGGAAATTCTACCCGCCTACGTTGAGCCTAGTAGTGATGGGCGCATATTATTCGGAGTCAACAACTTCAGCATGTAATTAGTATTATATATTCCCATGTTGACCTATTTAAGAACAAGCAGCAATTCTATAATTCAACAACACTCACAGCGTGATTATATAATAAGAGATGGAGGCGTAGCCGGTTACATTATTGGAACAAACGAAATATACACAAAACGAAAGACTATATACTAGGTCCTGTCTATGACCCGATTATATGTACCCCTATTTTTCCCTTCTCCAGCATAAAAACGAACTAACCTGCTAAATCTGAGCAATCATTATCAGTCACAGCACGACCAAACAGTCCTCCGACATCTGGTACAATCTGTTTGTCAGAAGAACGACAGCACATAGGCTGTTTCCCTTGACGGTATTCTTTGCCTTCTTCTTCTTCTTCTTTTTCGTGTTCGTGGCCTTCCCCGCGTTCATGACCTTCTTCGCCTTCTTCGCCTTCTTCCTCTTCTTTGTCCTTTCTGTGTTTGCGGCGTTCTTTGCTATGTTTGTGTCCGTGTCGTCTTTTGCCTTCTTCTTGATCCTTTTTGTTCATATATTTACAAGCGTTCTTAAAATCCTCCATCGAACCAACGTTCCCAGCTGGGATGGTATCAGTAAGCATAGGTTTTGAAATTATAGCGATGAGGAAGAATAAAGCTATTAACAACAAGAGAAGTTACGTACGGTATATACAGGCTACAACAACACCATCGTCGTTCGTTTCGCAGCACCGCGGATAATCAGCGCCAGGGCAGACATTAGTATTGCGTTTAGAAGTTTCGCCGCGTCTGGGTACGATGGTGGCGGTGGTGTTCAGGCCTAGAAAGGCAACAGTGGTAAAGAGAGCGAACCGCATCGTTCTTGTTGTTTTTATAATAGTGATGGTGGTAATGGTTATAGTTATCGTTGTGGCTATTACGTTAGGTAAGAAATCTGTTTGAGGAAGAAGAGGTGTATATATATCTTTTTTGGAACCACAGAGTATGTAATAAAGGATCATCTACTGTCTTGATACTGAACACTCAGCACTGAACACGTAGCACTGAACATTGAACACTTAGCACTCAACACTTTTTATGAGCTAGGACATTTTAGTGATTCATCATCCTGTGGCCTTGGAATGAGATCCAAAAGAAAGCTCTTAGGCTCCTATTAGATATCCATAGGGCTATTAGAGGTTAGACATAGCTAACTATACATACAACCCTGTGTAGGGTCATCATCACAATGCTAATCACTTGTACCTTTTTGGTTGTAGTAGCCTTAGATCTAGATCATGTGACACTGACTGTTACATGCATATATCTATCCAGCTCCAGATACTACCATGCAGTATGCTGTACCTCTTTGGGGGGGTGTTCTCACACTTACAGGTTTTTCTCCTATATTAAAAGAAATACTACACCGCTTCGATAAAAAGCAAATACTACAGATCTTATTCTTTCATTTCCGGGGAGCGGATAGCTATGTTGTATCTACATAAAACAAATCATGTTGAGTAGGACACCTTTCGGAATAGGCAATAGGCATCAAGAAAAGCCGCATATATATATGGGCTTACAATATAGTGAAGATAAATTTTCTATCCACACCAAACCAACATCTAACTATTCACAGACATACTATATTGCTCAAACATGAGACTTCACATCGTTAATATAGTTCTGATGATCTCTATGGTCTACGCTGTACCAGCTATTACGCATGAAAGCACCCAACATGGTGTTCAACTTGCACCTCGGGAGTGTGTTGGGGTGAGAACAAACGACATACCTGTTGACTAAAACGAAAAGTTTCTAATCGAGAATTTAAATAGCCTCGTGAAGTATGCTCTGATGAAAAAGGGTGCTGTCAGGGAAGTTGTGTAAAGATTATGCCCCAGATTCCATTTGGTACTGTAAGTTGTTCCAATAGGAAGATATATTGTTAACAAGAAATCTGATTTATAAAGTGCTTGAGTTAGAGGTAGATGAGAGTTAGGGTACAATAAAATTACAGAAGCCCGAGCACGTTCCGTGGGAAGTTTGCTTTCGCCTGGAGTTCTTTTAGGGTTTGAACTGTCATGATAGATATTTCTGGGATATGTGTATAATAAAATGTGGTTAATTCTATGGATAACCTTAAATTAACCTCTTTGGTGATTTTATAACGATGTTTTCGAGAAACGCTACCACGATCTGGTACTGGCATAGAATCAAAAGTGAGTATATACACATGTATTGCTAATACTAGTACTTGGTGCAAAATGGAAAATGTGGCGCTTATCGATAAGCTCACCCACGAGGTGGCTTGCCATGAAGCCTTTTCCTTTTCTTCCCTGCATGGCAGTGACGCAATAACTTGTCCAATTGAACTATTGGCATACATCTTATCATCAGTTTCTGGTTGATGCAAAATCTGAGGCGACTGACTGTCTCGCTTCCGAGGCAGTTCCTATTCCGCGCGCCAACACGTCCTGCCCCGCAACGCTTTTGTCGCTGCACTCTCGCCATGGACTTGTCAACGGATGCCACCGAACGCGTTCGTATGTCTCTCACATGAGTTTGAATGGGTCTGGCTGACAGGGAACGTAGAAGGGTTCTGTGCATCATGACACACATGCTACCCCACCACAGTTCATCCAAAAGGAGCATTGGCGCTACCAGAGCATGCGCAAAGTCGACTTAGAGAATGACCCAGACATCTTTGACCTCAGCAAACGTAGCGAGTTCAGCGAAGATTGGAAAGACATTTGGCGTCCTGCCGGCATCATTCCAGCAGCTCAGATTGAAGTTGCTTGTATGGCTTACGCTGGCGGTAAACCATTATCAGCACCAGTAGAAGACGCGCAAATCTTCGAACATCGTGATTTCCCCGGTCTCCAAGTCATCTCAAGACTGCTTCCTCCTGAGACGCAGGTTTTGTTCACATCATGCTTGATGCACAGGGATCTGGCGGACCCTGGACACAAGATCAACCTCCAAGCCGATTTCGAGATCCCATATCCCCCCAAGCCCACGTCCGAGCCCTCGCGATTTGACAGCAACTTTTTTCTTCGCGATCGGGCAGCTGAGGCTGACTGTCTTATACCAAAGTCACCCGACAAGCAAAAGCCATTAAACAACGAGCAGTTTCTTTACTCAAAACTCCGATGGCTCACACTCGGCGAGCAGTACGACTGGCCGACTCGCAGCTACGCCAAACATGCTACTCCATTTCCTGAAGACTTATCAAGGCTAGTCACTGGTCTTTTTCCTCATATCCGGCCCGAGTCTGGCGTAGTGTTAATGTACTCGGCCAAGGATTTCATGCCCGTACATCGCGATGTAAGCGAGCAATGCCAACGTGCACTCGCGAGCTTCAGTGTGGGTTGCGACGGCATATTTATCATGGCAAAGGGCGAGGATAATGGACAAGGAGAAAATTCTCCGAGGAGCGTCGCTATTCGCGTCCATAGCGGCGACGTCGTGCACTTGACAGGCGATGCACGGTGGGCTTGGCATGCAATGGCTCGCTGTATACCAAGCACATGTCCGCCTCATCTTGCCAGTTGGCCAGTCGGCACTCCTGGAGCAACTTCAGCGGAAGAGAAAGCTTACAAGAAATGGAAGGGTTACATGAGCACCAAGCGCATCAATGTCAGTTGTCGTCAGGTGTGGGATTAGGGAAATGAATGGTAGAGCAATCTTCACAGCAATCTTCTACTTCAAAAAATGCCGTTGGTGTACTATGGATTCAGCCCGCCACTATCCTCTCCGAAACTCACTAAACTGTGTTTCAGCATAATGTGCCCAGCCAGTGCAAAGGTCTAGGCGTCTCCAATGGCCTCCAACTCTCAACGTCCCTACTGTCGAATCTTACCGCCAATGACTGGTAGATAGGCCTAACATGCGCTTGACGAGTCAGATAGTTTGACACAGGGACCTGTCTTTTGAACTTTACACGCGCCGTTATCACCCCCAGTGTGTGGTTCGGTGCCGGACCATTTTTTGCATTTCGCGCTAGCCACGAACCCCCATCTAGACCCTAGTGACGTTTTTACCCACCGAATGGCAGCAGGTGGATCAGCGACCACCCTAACAGCCACATAATGCAACCCTAGTCCCTTATTCTCTTGAGTCTTGTTTATCGGTCAACGCCTCGACCCGCTGTGAACCCTTGTTTCTGCTCCCGTGTTGGGATGCGTGGGTTCCTGTCGCTTTGCATGGCGCTATATCAAGGCACCCTGGCCTTTTGGAATTATGGATGGGTGTGCGAATCCATGAAGATTGCTGGTTTAAAGCTAATGTTTCCCACACTAACCTGTCCTTTTCGTTCCTCTTGTCACTGCGATAATTTTCCCTGGACTGAAAGTTGTTCAGTTTGCTTCTGATTCACTCGTGTGTCGCAGTGTTTTGTTCTAATCTTTTTTTGTTTTTCAAAAGCATCAAGCGTTATGGGGCTTTTGAACCTGCCCCAATTCCGCTACCATGGACCGTGGGCTCAAATGTTGATTGCTGGCCTGGGAGTTGGCTCTTCCGCTGGCATTTACGTTGCTCTGAATCTACTGGGTGCTGGGGGTGGAAGGCCCGATTCGGCCCAGGTTGTCCAGGTTGTCAACGCGACACTGTGTGCAGGTAAAAGAAGGCTGGAGCTTTGTGTCTCAGGCCGTTGATAACAGAGATAGTATGGTTCTTCTCCTCTTCCTTCGGGGGCTC